TAGAAATTTGAGAGACTAATAGTGCTGCGTATACGCTCCAGGAATCCGGGTTACCTCAAGGGAGAGCTGCATCATGATTGGTAATAATGCATGCTTATAATAATACTAGAACATTATTTTTAATCAAAGTATTATTCTCATATGTTTGGTTCATGTCTTTTATTATTCTATCTATTTGAATTACCAATTATCTTTTTAAAATAGTGCAGACTGTGCACTTTTGCATGTATTGACAAAATGTCAATAAAATTATTTTAATTGTTAATTTTGTCTCTCTCTCTATCTCTCTCTTTATCAAATATTATTATTGTAAAATAAATGAAGCTTCCAGGATTAAGTTTCTTGTGCAACTTTTTATTTTCAAGCTTTCTGACTTGTCAGTCCTTCAACAGGATTATCACGTTAACAAATTAATGATAAATACTATTTTTATATACACGTTATTATATACGTATTTTAAATACTTATATATTGAGAGAAGAATATATTACATTATTTCTGTTTGACAAACAATATTTTGAAAATATACGTGCATGGTGGATGATACGTGCTGGTTGAACGATATCTCTTCAAATTAAATTTAATATTATTATCTCATGATTATATCTTATTACTGTTCTAAAACTAAATAATTTGAAACTAAAGGATTTTAAATTAAACTGATAATGATGATGATGGTCCTCATGGTCACTTTTTAAGTTATAATGACATAATCCTATTAAATAACATTTGTTAAACAATATTTGACTGACAAAAATTCACTCGGGAGAAGCCAGGTGAAGCTGAGTCATACATTCAGTTAGTGTATAATGATTATTATCCTTTTATATAACTCCACAATATGCACACTTTTAGACTTTGAATGGCTTTTATGTTAATCTATATATTCATCTATACATACAAAATTATCCAATTGTTTTTCAGTAGATTTGGCAATGAATAGTAACAAACATCAATTTATCTTTAGAATAATATGTGTAGTAGTTCTATTATTTATTTCGTAGAAAAGGCAAATTTCAAATTTGTCATGGATAATAAAAATGATGATGATGACATTTGTTCATTATCAATAAATTTCATCATATAGCTTTGAAGAGAAAAAATATATATGTTCGGATTCTGCTGGAGTGGATGCTTGCCCAAAACAACTGTTTTAACAAATGTTTATTATTTGAATATATAGAATTATTTTTTTACTAACCGAATGTATCACGGGCAATTCCCGGGATTTACTTTTATTTATGCTTATGAGGTGATACAGCAGCGTATTTACAATTAGATAGGAGACAAAATGAATTAAATCTAGAAAAAAGAAGTGAGGACATATCGGTCATTAAAGTCTGAGAGGCAAGGCCTTCAGCCAGTTCAGGGCTTCCGGGGTGACAGAATGGAGATTGGAGATTCCTTCATTGAATTTGTACAGCGGGCAGTCATCTAGTATATGGGACATTGATTGTGGGACGTTGCAGGCACAATTTGGATCTTTGGTGTAGCCCCATAACTTCATCAGCTCTGCACACCTTCCCTGACCTGTCCTAAAGCGGTTTAGAAGCACCCATTCTCGTCGAGGGAGGGAAAAACCTGGGATCTTGACACTCGGGCTTGTGATGAGGTTCTTGTTTGGGATATCGGAGCTGATCCAGGAATTTGTCCATGCTTCTGAGATATTAAAATTTTGGGAGAGAAGTTGGTTTCCTCTGGACCATATCGGCTTCCTTGATTTTAGTCTATGATTTGGGGAAGACTGTAGGATAGGGTTCGTAGTGGGGGGGCCCGAGTCCGACTTCCAAGTCGTTCCGCCAAGAGATCAACACCACAGAGGTCCGTACGTCTCTTGACCTCACGGACAATACAGCAGCTACATTATGCACTCATGATATCCTTTATCGAAAATGGCTTCCAACTGGGGCAGAAATCTGCAGTTGTGCTCATGGATCTTTCGAGTGCATATGATACAGTGTTGATTGATGGCTTGATTTATAAACTTGCTAAAGTGCTAAAATGCAAACAAACCCTCAATCTTTTGGGATTTACTTGAGTGCATATGTATGAAATAAAATGATGATCAAATGAAATGTTCACAATTATATATTACTAGCGGACGTACCCGGCTTAGTCCGGGTTTTACCCGAGTAAAGGTTTGTCTAACGAATCTTTCGATAAAGTGAACATTTTTTCCCGGTCCCTTGAAAAATACTCGATAAGTTGAATAAAATCAATATTAATTGGTTCCCTCGGTAATTGGAAGTTAAAGGAATAGTATCTTGCCTTGGAATTGTATCATTATTCTTGTCTCAAATAAATTGCCGTGTCATCCTGAATTTTGTCTTTCCTAATTTTCTACATTACAAAATCATCGTATTATCATGATAATATTTAGAGCAGATTGTTGAATTATACCAGATAAATTAGAATATTTATCTTGATTATTTTAAAGCGAAAAGTTATTTCAAAAATTTTATTTGCTAGAAACCTTCCCAGTACTATACTAAATAACTTCCCAAAGTTTCATGGCGTTCCAATGAGTGGTTTGGTCAGGCATAAAGGACAAACAGACACACACACACACACATACATTCATTTTTATATATATAGATGACCTGGCTTCGCCCGGGTTCTTCCCGAGTGAATTTTACCCAACGAATGCTTTAACAGATATTATTCCTTATGATTGCATATTATTATTAATCAAAATTAAAATTATTTTTGAAAATGAAATTTTTGAAAATGAGAAACACAAAATGATACAGTAGAACCTCCATGAGAGGACCCTCGCGCTAGAGGACACCAAAGGACAGTTTTCATTTGGAAAATTACCATTTTTATAATTTACAACTCTCTGGTAAGAGGACACCTATCCCTAAAAGACACTTTGGCTCTGCAATTAGGTGTCCTTTACAGGGAGGTTCTACTGTAATACATTAATACTTGTACATTAATTGGAATCCTCAGGACTACTGATTAGAGAGTGAAAATGATATATTTATAATAATTATAATTGTTAAAGCACAACACAAAAAAATAATTCGCCTGGCAAACATTCACTGGGGAAGAAGCCGGGCGAAGCTGGTTTATTCACAGAGTCTCTCAGTATATAAACATTATATATATTAAAAATAAAGAAAGCATATCCTGACCAGGAGCACATGTGCTTTACAGAAGGCCGAGCGCCATCTGGTGGAACAGAAATCAACTAAACATTGATTTAGCCTGTTCCCTGATATTTGGCCAACCCAATTTCTTGACAAATCAAGAAAAGCCATCCACGAACGCGTTTCGCGCTGTTGGCGCTCGTCAGCGTGGAGTAGGCTGTACCACTGCGATCAAAAATAATTTTGGTCCCAGAGGATTCTTGATAAACCAAGAAATGGGTATTTAAGGCTAAATTTGCGTAAATACTCTTAATACATGAAATATATATATAACTCGCTTCTCTAAAAAACGGGAAAATGGTTTGTTTATTGTCCTTGAATAGCTTATAAGTTAATCTATATATCAGCTACCTATAATGAAAAATTTTCCTAAGGCAGTGTTGGTGGAGAAGAGCAAAAAACATCAATTTATCTTGATAAGAATAGTTTCAGTAGGAAGTGGATGTTTCTCCCGAAAATATTGTTCAAAAACGTTCGTTAGAAAAATTTTCACTCAGGTAAAACCCGGTCGAAGCGGGGTGCATTTGCTAGTTTCACGATAGAATTGTTAAATATTATATTTTAGCACAAAATAACACTTTTTGTTTCAAAGTAGAATATATTTATCAGAGATTAATTGATTACAAATATTTGTACAATAAATATCGCTTGAAATTTCTAAGTATGAAACCACTTCATTGCTTTCCGTTATAAATTTATCTTTGGCCTAGTGAAATACGCTTTTAAAATTCTACCTTGTTCACAAATTATTTTTACTAAATGCACACGTTCTAAATTCCCACAGAGAAAGCAAAACGCCTTAGAATGCTATTGTCAAACACGAACAGCAAACATCGCCTGGAATGCAAACATAAAATCCATTTAATTGTCATGTGCCTGCCAAGTAATTGATTCTTGGGAGGAAAAAACAAATTTCAAAATAAAAACGATGACAGACACCACTTCAATATGGCTCCAAATAAATTCCTGGAGCTGCGACTTTTTCAATTTGGGGGTGGTTGAAACCCCACTTCACCCCTTAATTTAAAATCTAGGAGGTGGAGGAAGTTGATCTCTTCTCCCGCGATATTTCAGGTCTGGTGACATTTATTTTCATCAACTTTTCAGTTAGACTTTTCCCTTCTCATTTCCGCTTCGAAGATCTGCTACGTCTTGGAATCAGAACTTTTGTAATTTTAATGGACACCAGACGTGTCTTTGTTGGAGAGAAGTAAGGAAAAAGAGACCTTCTTCAAACTAATTCTCCATAATCTTGTGAACTATTCTAGAAATTTAAAATAAAAATGGTCAATAAACATTTCAAAGTTATATTTGCCCTACTTAAAAATTTTTTTTATTCAACTTGGTTTTATGAATGTATCTCAATTTATCTCATGATCAATTTTACATATTTACAGATCACCTAGAAACTTGAAAAATTTCCCACTTGCTCAGTACCGATAACAATGAAAATATGTACAATTTCAGACTTCTAGGTGGTCTTCTATATATGTATAGACAAAATTAAAGGCATACATGTATACAGCGCAAGTGTCCCTAGGGGGACATAGCGCTTTAAAATGAAATAAAATTTAAAAAATAAAATAAAATAGGTGGTCGGAAAGTTTATTAAGGCGAAAATGTATAAATATGATGAATAAAATGAATAAATATTTTAATCATAGTAAATAAAAGTATACGAGAAAAGATAAAATAAATTAAATATTTATTGCAGTTATACCGCGAATGTTTCTTTTAAACGAAAAATCGAAATTTATTTTAAAGAGAAATAGCGATTATTTCTAACTTTAAGGATGAAGTATGATAGAATGAATTGTGAAGAGTAATGATAAACGGAAAAATATAAGTGTCCAGGGATGGGAATCGAACCCACAGTGTTCCGCTTACCGGGCAGATGTCATGTCCACTAGGCTACCCTGGACATATTTTTCCGTTCGTAAATATTATATAAAGTAATTAAAAATACAATATAACGCGGCTTATGATTGTAAAACGAAAATTGCAGTTATACCGCGAATGTTTCTTTTAAACGAAAATTCGAAATTTATTTTAAAGAGAAATAGCGATTATTCCCATCCCTGGACACTTTTATTTTTCCGTTTATCATTACTCTTCACAATTCATTTTCTATCATACTTCATCCTTAAAGTTAGAAATAATCTCTATTTCTCTTTAAAATAAATTTCGATTTTTCGTTTAAAAGAAACATTCGCGGTATAACTGCAATTTTCGTTTTACAATCATAAGCCGCGTTATATTGTATTTTAAAATTAAATATTTACTCAAGAAACATAGAAAATTTAAAAAAAGAACACATTGATGCGTCGTACCCAGACGTCGTCGTTTATGTTCTTAGTCTGATCAGGATGGTACAAAGACGTGAGTTCGTGAGAGATGCAGCTAAGTTGGGGCTTTATTAGAATGGTACGACCTGTAAGAAATATAATATAGGGGACTTGTCTCCAATCTCCCTGCCAGAAGGATTCTTGTCGCTCTGGGTGTCACTCCCGCCCCCCACACAGTCACCGACTTGTAAGCTGATCCGCTGCCGACCGACACACTCTCCAGTGTCCACTTCTCTGGTCAGCCAGGTCATGTTGCATTTATAGGAAGAGAATAATCGGAAGTAGCAATGTCTGGGCTATACGGTGGGTAGGGTAGGACTTCCAATTTGAGCGTTTCTAAGTACATTTTAACAGGTGCTGCAGCATGTGGACGAGATTTATCATCTTTATTCATCATATATTATCACTTTGTCGTGTCTATTGGCGTATTGCAGCCGTTTTTATTGCAATGCTAGGCTCAAACGCATCAATTGTTCTCGGTAGACCTTCCCTGCGATCCTTTCGTTCGGTTGTAACAGCTCTTAATATACCACTCCTAGCTGGTCCCACAAAATACACAGCATAATACTCAGCTTGGCCAAACTTCAAGGCACCTCGTCGGTCAGACCAAGAGGTACTATCCACAGGGCCATATCCTTCTTGCCGAGAATCATCACAAGACTGTATTTTCCTTCCATCCGCCTCCCTGAACTATTCCTGCCAGTGCTCGTCTTCGCTAACGGTCATCTGTTAAACTTGCCGAATCTTTCTTTCTGGCGACGCAGTAACAAAATGAAGGAAAAAATACAATAATTTGTGGTAAAACAAATAAATAGAGTAAAAAGGAAGAAAAAAGAACATTTTGACCAAATATAATCGAACGAAAAGTAAATAAAGAGGATAAAAGTGATTTTAAAGTTATTATAGAAACGTGGAAAAGTAAAAATAGAATTTGAAAAAAAAAAAAGAGTTAATGCATGTCATCGTGAGTGAGCAAGTAGAAATAAATGTGAGGTATCTATAATCCAGGTTCCTGGAGTGCAGAAAAGTAAATATTTCGGAAATATATAATATGAAGAACTCAAAATAATAGTTTTCTCATCATGCGTGAATATATAGAAAAACTTTAAATATATATATATAGGTATCTATAAATTCATTTTAAAAACTTTTATAGAAGCGTTTTATTAAAATCCACTAACAAGGAGGAAATAATTCTTTCAGCTACCACCATTAAACGATTATCTAATCGTCTATCATGAATTTTTAAAACTTGACTTAATATGGATTAAAATGTGAAGCTACTGGCTAGCAATTATTTTATAAGTGTCTCTATTATTTTCGCACATTCTCTCAATATATGATAAACGTCTCTCTCCCACCGCTTTGATCATTTTGGTCTATAAGTCAAATTGTCGAATGGTGAAGGCTGAATCATGTTTTACTTTTCAGAGAATTTTATAAAATTAAAGCGATTCCTTAAGCTTTTCTTGAATTTTATTTTTACTTATTTCAAGTAGTAGTAACATAAAGGTAACCCAGGTTCCTGGAGTGTATCCATAGATCGCCAACTACTCGGGCTGCACTGCGGTTTAGGAAGTCTGTCTTGGTAGCTTTAGTGAACATGTTCACCAAGTGTTTCCAGGCCGGTTTGTTTCTTGGTAGTTCAATAGGGCAGTGTTGATTATTTCAAAAGACCAGGCTGTTATAATAACGAGAGCCAACAGCCCGAAACACGTCCGTGATTAGCTTTTCTTGATTAATTAAGAATGGGTATTTGGCCAATTCTGGAATAATTAAAAATCAACGAGAATAGGTGATATTTACTCCGATAGATGGCGCAAGCCATCAGCAACTTTCAGTTGCACGATAAGGAGATGCCTTTTTCTTAATTTATGTTATAATATAGTTATAAAGGAGGGTGCGCTTATATATTTTTAGAAAGGGTGATATACAAGTATATTATACGTGTATTTATCTGAAAGATGTTGTTATACCTTGAAAATGTTATATACCATATCTGGTTGTAGATTCCATGGCAAAAATCATGTAATAGATTTCTAGTTGATTGTGGATAGGTGGTATGTTTGTTATATTCGAGATCCTGCTTAGGCCCTCTGGTACATTGTGAACAAAAACCTCAAAGGTGTTAATCTCTCTACAAGCTCATATATAGGAAGATTGAAAATATAATGATAATCATAGAATTAAAATCGATTAAGTATTTTCCTCTTGGACGGTATATACTTTTTTATATCAAAGGGGATATTTATAAACCTGGGTTCCTGGAGCGCAAAACGCCAACTCTATCCGAAACTTTTATCAAAAGAAAATTTCTTTGTTATCAAATATAAGCAAATCTTTATCTTTTAAAACACTTTTTTTATCTAATCTCACACAAAATATTGTCAAATCTATGTGATATAGGATCATTGAATGGTAATTGGCGACTTCTGTAACTCTCTCTGGGTTATCTATATAAAGGATTTAAAAGCTTTTATATCAATTGATTTTTTTGTGGCTTTTCCAGAATTATAACTCTTTGTGTTCAATATGTCCCTTGACAGTTTAATTTCCGAAAACAAGCCTTAGGAATACACACGACGCTATATATATAAGTGTAATATATAAATATTTAATTCTATATAAATACGATGTTGTCTGTGTGATGCAAGATTTCAACTCTGAAACTGTTGGGAGGGAGAAAGCAATCAACAGGTTTCTATCTTGAACATTGTCGGAATTACAAGCAAAAAAAAAAAAACTCTAAATTCAGGATAAATATTAATTAATCTTCTATATAGTTTTAATATATTTCACAAATAGCACATCATGTATATATCGGCTTCATATTTTTTATGACTTTTGTATGAAAATCATCTACAGCTATTCCAGGCGTCTACACTCCTTGAACTGCCCTTATTCAATGACACTGCTCTGTTGAATGTACCAAGAAACAAACAAGCCTGGAAACACTTGGTGAACTTGTTCACTAAGGCTACCAAGACAGACTTCACAACACAGCCCGTGTATTCGCCGATCTATGAATACGCTCCAGAAACATGGGTTACACATATATGTTAATAAATAAATGATATACAAGGTGGCCCATAAGTCCTCAAAACTTTTTTTTTCTTATAAAAAGAATATTTATAGTTTTTCATTCTAGTTTGCCTTTTGATTTTCAATTAAAAAATAAAATAAAGGGTTCACGACTTATAGACCACACACACACCCTGTATTTTAGATTTTTTATAAAATAAAAATTTTTTGTTTTATAATTATCTCTAATCCATATCAAGAATTTGTGCATATTTTAATCGATTATTCAGCATAACTAAAATGTGATAAAAAAAAAATAATTTAAAATAATAGCATTATATTCGTGACCAGAAATGAAAGATATGACAAAAATTAAAATACTTCTAATGGAAATTTATTTTATGGCGTAAAAGGGGGTGGAGAATATAAGACAACTTTGAGTCATGGGCAAAAAATGATGTGTTTAATCACAAGATGGTCAGTTTCTGCGTATATGTTTGGGTCAAATGGATTTCTAAAATATGATAGAGCCATTGTTTCCACGTATATTTTATCATATAGCTTTAGGACCTTGTGTACTTATAGGTCTTTGTCCAAAATAACTTTATTAGGTACCGCTCAAAAAGAGAAACCTAAACTTATGTTATTTACAATGAAAAATATGAAAAAATTTAGATCTGTTTTTTAAATTTTATAAATTTTTACTATATTACACTTTTTTCTCAAATTGTATTTTTTGAATGCTACTATTTGAATTATTTGAATGTGCTTTAAGTAGTGTGAATAAGAAATTACAAAAAAAAATCAAACTTTTTTAAAGAGAGACAAAGTTTAAATTATTAAAATCTATTAAGGTTGCAATATTTTTCTGAATACATTCTTTTATTTATAAAAAAAGAGTATTTCTGAATGTTGATGATGTCTGATTTTAGCTCGGCGCCAATTAGGAGTTAGTAATTGATTTTTTTTTTTTTTTGAATAATCAGAACTGACCGATAAAATATTTGAAATATTACCATACCGTTATTTTTTTCGCAAGTCTTCAAATATAAAAGTTTTATTGCTTCAAAATGGATCCACTTATCCACATCAAGTAATTATATATATATACAGTTAAACCTGTCTATAGCGCCTCCCTCTCTATAGCGCCCGATTTTAAACACGTAGTACGATGCGATTTACATTGAAAGTGACCTGCCTATAGCACCCTATTTTGGTGAGTCCCAAGAGGGGGCGCTATAGACAGGTTTAACTGTATATATATGTAATGGGTAAAATGGGTAATTGTTCTATTATTCAAATTTTGACCCAATTAAAATGATCCGGAGAATTATAGTGATTGAGCTTTATAGTTATAGTGATTATAGATATAGTGAACTATAGTTATAGTGATTGAGCACGTTGAATATATTCTGAAATAGTAAATTTATATAAGGCGCTTTTTAAATCTAATTGAATACTTTATTTTTCCGTTTATCATTACTCTTCACAATTCATCCTATCATACCTCATTATATTTTGTGATAATCAGTGTTTTCGCTCTCACAATAATTCA